GTTCTCTATTCTTTTCTCTCTCTTTCAAATTTCTCTAAAAGTTCTATCTTTTTCTGTCAGTATTAATGAGATTTCACAATTGATTAGTATTGATAAAGTTTGGAATATTTTATAAATAAAAAAGTTGTATCTAAGCAATTATAAGAATTATACAAAAATTTTAGATTTTAGTACTAATAGAGGAGAAGGTTGTATTACAGAACCCCATTTTTATTTCAGTGAATTGTAAATAAGGTATCATAACTACACCCACATTTTTTGTGCGAAAAGTACTGGTAACTATTAAACTAAATGTTCCTAATTGGATTTTTCGCTAGTGTAACTATAAGTATAGTTTTTGAAGGCTTTTGTACAAAAAGTCAGAAAGTAGGCTGAGAAAATCGGGTGGTAATATGGAACTTTACTGTATGTTTTCAAAAAATGCTTTAATGTATCCAAAAACAAATAGGAAAGTACAAAGAATGTTAAATAATTACAAAATTATTTACTCCAATGTATTTTATTGAAAAAATGCTTTTATAATAGAAAAATATGATCTCCATCAACAATATGTATTCCAGCAGCTCTTTTTCGATATTCTCAGGTAGAATTGAGTTTCTACCTAGTGTCTTTTTCACAAATTGCTCCTGAGGAATGTCTGCTTGCAAATAGAGAGTTCGGAGGAGTTGGGTTCCATATTAAAAGCACCAATGGAATCACCATCTTGAATTAACTTATATCTGTCAAGAACCAAATTTTAAAAAACGTGAACATCACAGAGATTAATATGTACCCCTAAGTCTCTGGAATGGAATACATACACCAGTGAACCTACAACTAAATGATTTATATTTTAAAAATAATTAAATTCACTTAGCATTCAAAACTTTCAAATTTTGAAAAACACAAATTTGGGATTCACTACGGACAACCGTTTAACTGAAGTGAAACGGGTTTTCCCCTTGCTATGGATGTCTGCCTAGTTCAGTTCAGCCACAATCCGCTACAGTTCGCCTTTATTATCAGTTCGAAATGGAGTGGTTCCACAATACCACCTTTTCCTCTACTAAAATTATAATTAATACTATAAATTTAGAATCTAAGCTTTATCAGTCTAAATACTGTAGAGATAGAGTACATAATTGATAAAATATATTTATCTTTAATAGATTACATATTATAATCAATTTTAAGCCGATAATTTTGTGGCTAAATTATTATTCTAATATTTGTACCGTACGTTTATATTAATAGAAATCCCCGGTGCATTAAAACCCCATTATTTCGAAACTCAAGGGACCGAAAAACACGACTTCGAATTATCCGAACTTTTTTTCCAATTGAATTTTTTTTGTAATTCTCGAATAAAATCATGACATTATCTTATATAATTTCACCCGTTAGCCTTATCAATGGCTAAAGCTAGGTGTACTCTATTCTATCGTTAATACGCAGACGTGTATTTAATCGACTTTGGAATTATCAAAACAATAGATTTTTGCGAAAAATGTCTAAAATAATTAAATGCAAACATTTCTTCCATAACCTCCTAACAAACTTGTATAAAATACAAAGATTGTTCAAACACTGCAAAACTGGAAAAAAATATGTCATAAAAAACGCAAACCTCTAAACCTTACAAATGAAATTCCAGCATCCCTCTTCTACTCCCGGAATTCCGAAACTTCCAGGAGTAGGTATGATCAGGCCAATTCCAAGGTCATTGGGAGATATGTACTTATATGATGAAAAAAAATTCGTATAAAATCAAATGTTTGTATTAAAAATATGAAAACCAATAATTCTAATACAGAAGTATGTGTACTTTTGTTTGGTATATTATTTATCTGCTTATATTTTGTATTAATTTTTTTAATTCGTATTTTATTGTTTACGTTAATCTGTAAATTAATTGCAATTTTATCTAATGTAATTAAATTGTAAGTCTGGTTAATGTATTAATTGATAGTATACTATTAATTCTATGTTATATTAAAGTACAGTAATATCCCGAACTTAGGTGGGACCGAGCGATAACCGCGTAAGTCGGGGTATAATTTCGCAATTTGTGTAAAATCCAAGTCTGATGTATGTAAGCTAATAAATGTTCTCGTTAATCTTATCTCGTCTTTTGATTCGTTCACGGTTACAAGAAATCACCACACAGAGTCTCTCAAGTCTCCGTAGATATAACAAACACAGAAATAAATAACACAAAATAAATTGTAGCTGTGTCGATTCCGCGCGACACGTCCGAACATGTAAGCCGAACAATAGTGTGGGGGATTGAGTAATCGAGAGTTGCTTGGCGCTCAAACAAAAGACGAATCGACGAGATTTGAAAATCGCGTAAGTCGAAATATTACTGTGTTAGTTTATTACAATTATCGTAAATTATGTTAATTTTAAATATTAAGCAATACTTTTAATTCAACACAGAGTTACAGTATGATATTAAATTTAAAGTTAAATATTAACATAGATTGAGCCATAAGTCTATTATTATAGAAAGGTCAACACTAGACACAGTAAAGTATTAGTTGCAACTGTTCAATTTACCATATTTTGACGAGTATAAGTCGCTGTCAAGTATAAGACGCACCCCTATTTTGAGACAAAAAATTTAGAAAAAACTTTTTAATGGGATTGTCTAAAGATCCATTTTATTAATCATAGTGGCCAAGAAATTCTATAACTGGTAAATTATACCCATTAGGAAACATGTCTATGACGTCAGTAGTAGTGGTTTGGCACATACTGATCACAAAATTAATTTTTTAATTAAACTTCGAATTACTATATATTTTATACTAAACCATACTTTTTATGGCTTTTTCAAAAGTATTTGTTATATTGAAAAATGATCTTGGTATATTACTGAATTAGTTTCATATGATATAGAATTCTGTTTTAATAAATTTTGAAGGAAAGTATTTATTAGTAGTATTATTTTAATAGGATTTTAGTATTATTTTAACATTGATTTCGAGGCATTTGCGGTTCACAATGAAAATATTTGTTTAAAACATTGTTCTGGGAGTTTAGGTTTTCAGCAGAGCATTCTAAAGTGTTTGGAAAAACTAATTTTTATAATGAGTGTATATTTTAAAAAAATTTAACAGTTAGATAAAAAATTAGCAAGATTTGACAATTATTTGCGTGGTTTATATCTATCATATGAGAAAAAATTTTAGGGAGTAGGCGCGAAGTGATAGGATTTACAAGCTACTATATAACTTATTGCTGAAATATGAATAATTTAAAGTCAGCAAAACTGAAGAGAAAAGTTCAGCAAAATTCATTTTTATAATGAATCTATTATTTTAAAAAAATTAACAATTAGACATATAAAAATTCTATAGTTATTTTGTAGGGTTTTAATCTATCATATGAAAAACAAAATATTTAGGAATTACAATCAGAGGTTCGTTTTCTTGGAGTCTAATATTCTTTGAACTCTTTCTTAATTACATTTAAATAAATACTCGTTAATATAAATTTAAATGTATAGAAATTAATTAAAATGATAATATTATTGATAATAAGTTGACATTTAAATGGATAAATGTAATCATATAAATTTTTAAAATATATTTAAAACTAATCTAATTGTACCTACTTTAATATATAACTAATACGGATAGTGTTACAATAAATTACCTTATTGTTGTAAAATTCATTCTTAAAGTTTAATGATATCTCACCTTGATTTAAATTATTATATGAGTTCATAATTAATAAAAAAAAATGTGTATAATCAGAGTGTCATTTTATAAATTTAATATCTATAATTATAGTTTATCAGTTAAACAAATATTATTTCAAAGAAGTAATGGTTTAGCATACACCATATAGTAATTCAAAGGTTAATGAGTTTGTTTGATCACATAGTTTAAATTTAATTTGAAGAAAGTCACTTTTTTAAAATATTATTATTATTATTATTATTGCAACTGTAAAATTTGAGTTAAATTTTTATACTTTCATTTCAGTAACTATATTTTTTTGATTTGGTACTCGTAGATTTTGGTGAAAAGCTGCTGTATATTAATCTTGCTATTTCATTGATAGCATGCTGACACCATCTTTGACTCTCTATCTCGTTGCCTCTTTCAGTAAATATTATGAATTATTCTGATGTATGTCAATAACACTCCCTGACTCTTTGTCATTGGAAACTGCTTTTTGGACATTCGTTTGTCAGACTCATTTTTTCTTCATAATAACCTTGACACAATTGAAATAAAAGTTGTATATTCAATAATTTTTATGATTATAATTAATATCAATTGTGTATTTTCGTGATGAATGCCAATCATATTGCAAGACTCATGACTGAAATTTTTCATTAGAGCAAACTGCTTTTTGCGCATACCTGACTGAAACCTATTTACTTTGATATTTTCCTTGACACAGTTGATGTTAAAGTTATTTACTCAATAACAAAATAATCTATTTGTTTTTCAGCCCCACTTCAGTATCTTCACAGACAATCTCGTTTAGTAACGACTGTGTTATTACCATTACTGTTAATACTTTTGTTTAGTTCAATGTAAACTAAACTTTTACAGTTTATTATAGATATTCTGATTAGGAAAGATTTATAATTTGAACACAATACAAAGAACTATTTAAGACGTTTCTTTCATAATAATAAAGAAATTGTAAAATAAATATTTGATTTTTTACATTATGTTATTGTTGTGTAGCCCATTCAGACGTATTCGTTATTCCGTCTTCCGAATATATAAACGCTTTAAGCGTTGGTTCGCAGGAGAGGTCAAACTCTAAGAGGAGTGTGAACTCCTAACCAGAGATAGTCGATCTTGGGACTATATTCTGTCTGTTGATGATGTAATGTCGCGTCTTTGAAACAAAGGAATTTTTTTCTTTAACATTTATTTTCTTTTTGTTTTAAAAATATAAATAACTCCAGTGTAAATTTTTGTGAAGGTTCTGTCCTGTCTAGGACCTTATATTAGATAGGGCATATGTATTGTAGGTTTTAATATGAAAAATTTTATTCTATTACTATATATTTATACTGAATTACAGATTTATAATATGGAAAAAAAGATTAAATATTCAAATCGGAAAACAAAATATATTTGTATTTAAATCCTTGAAGTTAAACTCTCGTATAATATAACTGAAATTAAATTCTAGATATATGCGATATTATCCTGTATGGCTATTGAATCCATTGCATTGGTTCCCTCCAATTTTCGCCAGGACTAAAACGGGAAGGAATTTCAAAAGACACATTGAAATAATTCATCAATTTGAAGAAAAGGTAAACCGACTTTCATGAAAGATCAAGGCTTATGTTTGGATTTAACAGATTTATGTTTTTATTTAATGCGCAGGTGTTCAAGAGAATAAAAGAAAATTACGTGAAAAGACAGCTACTACACTTAGAAGATAATGCACATAGTGTAAAAGAGCCGAAGATAAAACCGAAGCCTTTCATAGATTTACTGTTAGATCTTCACGTCAATCAAGGTTTAATATCGGAAAAAGACATTATCAAAGAGATGGAATTTTTTATGTTTGCAGTACGTATAATTCGTTAAAAACGTAAACGAAAGTAGTTTTATAATCCTCCACGTATTTCAATGACATCATTTACATTATTGCATTAATAATTAAATTATTAAGTAAAATTTATTTAATTAATAATTACAATTAACTTTCTTTTCAGTTAATTTAAAATTATATTTGATGTATAATTTATTAATCAATGTATTAATACTAAGTAATATGTGAAATATAAAGGGAAAAATCCTGCATACAAAAGAAATTTTTAAATTATTCATTTTCTATTTCAGTATATTTAAGAAAATATTTACGAAATTAAAAATCTACAGGAATTCACATCATAAATTATTCAATATTTGTATTAAAAACTTGAATCTTTGGGTTTTTTGTAATAAAGGGCTGCGGGTTTTTCTTGGCAAAACTGATAGAGTAGATATTATGTAAATCGGCGCTGTAAAGTCATCTGTCTCAATTATAATACAACACGCAACGAAGTACAAAGAAGCAACCTTACGAAATTTTCTTGAGTGGGAAATCTCTTGTATTACGATTTTTACCATTTAATCTCATTTTAAGGCTGACCGAATTTACGTTTTTCAAATACTAATTTAACTTTTAATTGTTATCGGTTTTCTTACCAATGTCTAAGATTCTTCTGAACAGAATTTTCTTCATAAAATTGGCATCGTTAAATATGGCTTCATGAAATATATTCGAATGATTCTGATTTTAACATTAAACTGTTGTTTTTGTCTATCATTCTCTATTCCTTCTGGATATTGAAAGTGTGCTTTTCATTCATACACATCGTTGTTTCGTCTTATTCATACTCGAAGCAGCAGTGTGATAAGAGATGGAATCTGTCTAAAAACAACACCTAAATAATTCTTCTTTTGGATTTGATCCCGAGTTTCCCAGGGTGATAGGGTTACGTCTTAACTTCCTCTGCCGTCTAATGAAAAAATATTTCATGACAAATTATTATTAATTAATATTCAATGTTCTATTTAGGAAGAAATTTAACTTTTCACTTCAACTTATTTTAATATCAGGGTTTTGATACAACCGCCCATGCTATGTCATGGAGTCTTTATTTCCTGGGAAGATTCCACGAAATACAGGACAAAGTGTATCTGGAATTACAGAGCATTTTCGAAAATGACATGAATAAAAATATTACAGTTGATGATTTGCTGAAAATGACTTATTTAGAATGCGTTATAAAGGTAACTTTACAATTTTTTAATATACGAAAATTAATTTGATACATTTCTACACCAAACTTTTCAGGAGTCGATGAGAATCTGTCCTCCTGCTCCTGTCATTGCAAGAGAAAATCTGTATGAAATAAAAATAGGTTAGTTGTATCAATCTAGACTTTTGCTTCTATTTATATCTCTATATTTTAATAATTGGTTATTCATTATATTAATAAAATAGATGATTATATTTTACCACCAAAATCTTCTATCTCAATTTGCATCCATGCTATTCACCACAATCCTTCTGTTTATGAAAATCCAGAAGTGTTCGATCCAGATCGTTTCCTGCCCGAAAACTTTAAAAAACTTCATCCTTATGCTTTTCTGCCATTTTCCGCTGGTCCACGAAATTGTCTCGGTGAGTGAATCGTAATAAATTAAACACAGAGTTATTTTACTGAAATGATTTATTTACAGGATTTAAACTTGCGATGGTTGAAATGAAAACCATATTAGCTAATGTTCTTCGGAATTTTAAAGTTTACTCTTTGGATCCTCAAGAGAAAATCGTTACTTCTGCTGAAGTCCTTTTGCGCCCGATATCGGGAATAAGAATGCGGGTAGAAAAAAGATAAACTACTCTTATATTGTCCTACCTGAAGAAATGTTTATTACAAATTTACATAAACATTGCCTATAATCTAGACTAGTAGGTTTGTAAACTACATTAAAATGTGCTGTTTACGTCTATTAGACAAGTAAAATATATTGTATAATGATTGGTATCTAGACAACTGTATCAAAGTCGTTGTACTTATTATAAATAATTTTTCATAAATTGTAATTCATGATAAAATATGTAACAATAAAATATAAATGATGGACTCTTCTTTTGATGGTGAAATGGTTTCGCCTAAAATACCTATCAATTTAATATATACATTTCTGCGAGTTGTATAGTGTTGTAAAATTACGCATTTTCCAGTTCAATCTATAGCAATTTTTTTAACCAATTTTGTTAACAAGATGAAATAATGTCAGCTTGTGATCCAAGCAACTCGGGTTCACATCCAGGGTTAAAACAATAATTATCGATACTCTATCGTAGAGATATTAGCTGATCTCTGCTATTATCATGCGACTATTAACGCTAATGCTCTGTATGAATTTATTATGAATTAAAATGAGAATAGTGTTTCTTAGTGTTTTTTTTTTATCTTTCATTTTTCCTGGGTGGAAGGAGTAAAATAGAACAACAATTTTTCCAATGTATTTTGTATTTTACAATGCCCTTTCAGCACCTACCATTAAAATATTTTAAGTAATTTTTTTTATTTAAAATTTACGCATACACATATAATATTCTGAAGCAATTAGACAAAATGCTTGTAAGTTTAAATAAAAA